CCCTTGCTGTGCTGCGGGGAAAGGCGGAGGCGGCGTGAGGGACGAGGGCGTGTCGAGGAGGGACCGCGGCTGCTGCCCTCAACGCGCAAGTCGGCGAGAGTAGCGCAGGGTATTTCCGAGGCTGTTGTTTTTTCTCTCTTTTTCTCTCCCTGTCCTACATGCCAGTCGTGCCGCCTCAGGTGGTGTTTTCGCCCCGGTCCCTTTCCTTCCTCCACTGGCCTCTTGTCCTAACTCCTCAGTGCCTCTTCACTTCTCTGGGAGTGCTGTGGGCGCCCTCATTGACTCCCACGATTTTAATCTGGTGGCCCCTTGCTGCTCTTACAGATAACGTTCTTGGCTGGATGTTTGAACGCATTGAGACAATCGGAAAATTAGTTTATCCCTCCCTTGCCCCGACTTTTTTGTTGTCTGTACCCATACCTTGTTAGGCCTGAAATTGCTCAGAGATTTGCCGATTATGGCATCTCCATGCAGCTTGTAGGCTGTGAAACAGTAAATGTAGTTCGCTTGCTGGAGGGACGTGGGACAGCATTTGTAGCAGACAGGAGTCTTGACGTTACTGCGGTTCTCTGTCAGGGATTTTTTTGTGTTCTAACCAGCTTTCTATCTGGGATCTCATTTTGATGAAGCCAGGAGTTGTTTGGGTATCGGCTTTTTTAATGACCAGTAATGGGTATCGTATAAACTTAACTTCTGCAGAGTGGTTGGTTGCATGGGTTCCTGCCCCAAAACGAATACCAGCTTGATAGAAAAGACAAGATATATTTATCTCCACCAAAAGTCGTGTTTTTCTAGGATGGAAAAAATTGTGGTTGTATTTATTCTATCACCACTCTATCACCACTCTAAGGGATGTGTAAAGTCTCTTATGTCATAAGAAGGTTGTTGTGAGAAGAATGCACTGAAAAATAGTTTCATTATTACTTTGATTCAAAGCACATTTGAAATGACTAAGCTGTTGCTGGGGGGATGACATCCACTTCTGGACAGTAATACCATTGCGTAACATGCGTAAATGAGGCAGTGGAAGGGGCTTAATCACTCCATGAATACAGTGTATAATCTTTTGAAAAACTTCAATTTATGCAAGATCATTTTAATTTGAGATACTGTTTTGGTTTCAGTGAAATGCGTAAGTGAGGAATGAAACAAGGAATAATAGCAACCATGGGGATGATTAATGTTTTGCCTATGGAGGCAAAAGCTTGCTGAGTGTGACCAGCAATCATCTGAAAACTTTTATATATAAAGATAAGTGGGATAACATTGGCTACATTAACCACTATGTATGGCTTTATTTTTGCTAATTCTTGTTTCTGCTAGTGGTAGGGAGTTACATAGCCATCTGTCAAGCAACATAGATAATCTGTAGATAATGGTGCTCATTTGGATAATCGAGCTAAAAATAATAGTTTAGTTAGTACAAAAGCACCAGAAGTGATAAGCTGAAGAGGAGAAGGCATCATCTTCAGACTGTGGAAAAAGGGTGTAATTCTAACTGTTTTTGAACTCTTCCCTCGCTTTTGGCGGTGTTCAGTTCAGCGTGAAAAGTTTGAGTTTACTGCAGTGTTTGAGATAATTTGCTTCTTGGGACCTTGAGTAGTGGAAGTCTAAGGAAGAGACGGACACGTGAATGCTTATGCACTCCTTATTTTCCTTGGTTTAGTTTACTTTATTCTCCACTTTCAAGATATTTTATTGATGGAGGCCTTAACTAGGAAGCCTCATTGTTCAGCAAATAATAGTGTGTTGACAAGAAATATCTGTGTGAAATTGAAGGTGGTTTTAACTTTTTCTTGAAAACAATAAACTGCTGAGATGTCACGATGTTATTTATTGGACCCTGATCATGAAGACAAAGCAAGCTGAAAATATAAGGGACATTAAAGAACAAACAGGAGTTGTAGCTTATTTTTTTTGGAGATGATTTTCTTGGCATCATTTCTTTTGGAGAACGCGTGGCATAGCACTTGGACATACCATTTGGGCAAAGGATTGAAGTGTTGAAGAAGGCTGGTTGTCTAGCTATTGTAGACCTTAAGGCAGAAAATCTTGGGAAAAGAAAATATAAATTAGGGAAGGAAAAAGAGGCAGTGGAAAAAAAAATCTGACTTGAAAGTTAATTTTGTTTAGGGGCTTGACTAGTAAAGTTGGTAATTACCAAATGGGTTCCTTGGTGGGAACCTTGTTTCCTATCTCCTAGATGACAGAAACCTAAAGCTGTTCTATGAGATCTTGGCATGCCATGGAAATAGTGGGTAGAGCAGCAAGAACTGTGTTGATCAAATTCTTTAGTTTTGGAAATTGTGAAAATTGATAAAGGCGTGAAAATTGATAAAGGCATGAAAATAAGGGCCCCAGAAATGGAATTATTTCAACCCCTTAGTTTTGCCAGACAGTTCTGCCTAGTTTTATTACATATTGGTTTTAATTAGATTACTTTTGTTCCTAAATTCTTTGAATTCTTTGGATTAATTAGGCATGGACTTGATGTATTTCTTAAGCATGTTTGTACTAAAATACAGTTTTAAAATCATTGGTATTTCTATAAAATGTAGTAATAAGAAAGTGAAACTTGTCACTTTGAGTGGCATATAGGTCTCTACACAACTGATAACATGATTTATGAAAGAATTCATTATTCTTCCTGAAGGGCAGCATACTTAGAAGTTGTGACACCACTTAGGAAAGTTTGCATATAGAATATGTAGTTGCTGGTTAAAGTTCAAGATTATCACTGCTACAGAACAATGTTTTGAAAGCAAATATATAGATGACAGTAGTTGGAGGTAGGATTGAAACCTTATGCTAAACAAAGTCACAGTAGCTAGGTTGGTATAGCATAAGTTATTTTTCTCTGCTTTGGTAGCTTCTGTATGCATATAACAACTTAGAACTATCTGAATTGAAATATCTGCAATGTTCTGTTGAAGGTATTGGAGATATGCATGAGGAAAATAAAGCAGCACAAAATGGATGTGGCAAAATCCGAAGTGGCACTCAGAATGAGGCTGCTTTACTAGCCCTGATGGAGAAGACTGGATACAGCATGGTTCAAGAAAATGGGCAAAGAAAATTTGGTGGTCCTCCACCAGGTAAGCATTTCTTTTGAGATTAAGAAGTTGGAGTTTATTTTCTGTAAGGAGAGCTATACTGAATCAGACTGAAAATTTGTGTAGCCTCATGTCCTGTATCTTGACAGTGACCAGCAGTAGATGCTTAGGGAAGGGCTGTAGGAAACACAACACATACAGGGTCTTGGTATGCTTTACAGTTTCCAGCAGTTTAAGATCTTTTGTGCTAGACTTTGTTGAACATTTGCTCTCGGTGGATTTAAGAAGTCACGGCTTCAAAAGCAACTAAAGTGGACAGGTAGCAAAACAAATGTAGAGTTGAAAATACTACATGTGTTCCATATGACTGAGAACATGCTTGAAAACGTTTAGTAGCACAGAAGGGACAAACAAGTTGGTGACAGCAGGCATAACCTACTTCATTTCTTGTCTTGTCACTTGCATTGGCCAAAGCATTTTTTTTACAAACTTCTGTTCTATGAGGTAGTACCAGTGAAGATAATCTAACTCATTTTGTTTTCAGAGTTGACTAATCTGTTCTCCATATCTAACATAACCTACCCCCCTGCCTTCATTCTGAGAAGAAAAATTAATAAATGCTGAGTTTCTGGAGCTTTTATTATTCATTGGATGTGTTTTTAACAGTGAAGTACAAAAGTTAGAGTTTATGAGTTTATTATTCATGTGTTACTGTTCTTTTACTTAATACACTAGAAAACAGAAATTGTTGAGTATGTGTAAACAGAAAATAACAGTTGATAAAAATCCCACAGAATATATTGATGCTGTAAAAACTACAGTCATTTTATTGTTTAATTTATGGCAGTTTGGGATCTATTGTTACGGGCAAACAGGATACCTACAAACTTGAACTGGACAGTTACTGCTGCAGTGAAAACAAAGTTTGTCACTAAATTATTTTTTTTTATATGCCCAATTATATTTCCACTAAAGTAAGTGACAAAAAAACCCCATATAAGTCCTGCAGTATATGGACTATGTAGATTGCAATTTAGAAAGAGGGGCTACTGGATTTAGTAAACAATTTTCAGGATGTTACTGCATTGGAAGACTTTTTTTTTCTGGTGTATTAAATGCTGTTTCAAAAACGTGTCCAATACTGCGATCAAGTAACTTAGCAATTATAAATATCTTGAAATAGCCCTGTCCCCTGCTAAAGTAGTTTTGCTGAAACTGCTACTGCAGACTTGGTTTACAGCAAACAAGTAATGCTCACAGATAGTGCAAGGAAAAGCTTTTGTTCAGCACTTTAAATTTGCTTTCCAAAATAAGTTTAAATGGCTCTTAGTTTTAAGTAGGACTGATAAAGGGCGTTTTTGTTTGAAGATGTTGTAAGATCATTCAACTTTAGTGCATGCTTACACGAATGCTGGAAACTAATGGGTTTATTTTGTGCTGCAAAAGCGGAAAGTTTGTGAAATAAATGGATGAAACCCAAATGATTGAATTTGTTACTGTTGTGAGTGAAGACATTTGAACAGAGGAGGAATAGTTCAGTAGGTATACATTTTTTCCTAATTAACTTTTTTATTACCCTATTCAAGAGTTAAAACTTATGTAGGGCTTTTTTACCCTACCAAAATGTCATTTTGTTCTTCTTAAGAATACGTCAAGAAAATGAGTAGCTTCTAGATCATTTAGTTTGAACTCCTGTGTATCTTACACATTTACTACCTGCTTAGTTATTATTGTGTAAAGCCCGATGACTTTTTTTTGCTAAAGAACATTTTCAGAAAAGTTTGATTTTGAGAACTCTGAAAGGTGGGATTATCCACTCCTATGCTTAGCTTGTTAAAATGGTTAGCATCTTTCCTGCTGGATTTGGGCTTTATTTCTAGTCTGAAATAGTTTTTTTTCAAATCTTGATGAAATACCTAGTCCCTGTAATTCTCTGTAATAATGCTGTATCAGTTACCTTTATCTTAACATTTCGTGGTGTTCTGATGAAATGAATCAAATGCTTTAAATATTTATGAAGCAGTTCTTTTACTTTGAATAATTTCTCCAGTGTTGTTGTTGACATCAGCAACGTACGAGAATTTTGCCATTAGTCCTGGTTGTACCACATGAAATACAGTAACACTTTTTGAGTCAGATTATGCACTTACACAAGCAGAAAGAAGGAAGACTCTTTGTGCTGCTGTTTCAGTTCATTCTTACTTGTGGTCCATGATCCCACATCTTTATAAGTCATGCTTGTAAGTTTGAACCATGTAGCTCATTGCTTTATGTAGTTTAAGATACAGCTGCATCAAAATTATTTCTCTTTGGAAGTTTTTCCTGTCTAAAATTACGTACATATTTTTACTAGCCTATATAAAATAGGCAAATGGAAATCTGTAAAATTATTTTGAAAATGACACTGGAAGAAGAACTGCAGGGCATCACTGACTACTTTCTTAGAGCTCAGCCTGTTCTTAAAATATTTAATACAATTTTTGCATCATAATTATGATTTTTAATTAGAACATTAGGTGGTATTAAGTGTATTTGTTTAGCAAAGTTACTTTTATTAATGAAATTTGTTAATCTTTTCTGAAACTAGATGTGTTTGACAAGGTGCATCTTCCGTAAAACTGTGCATTGACAGTACTTATATACCTCTCCTTTAAATCTTCATCTATTTTCATACTTGCTTAGGCTGGAAATTACCCTAAGTTACTAAAATGGTTTTCTAGGCCAGATAAGACTTGAATGTTTGAGATGGCTTGTAAGAAAGTACAATAACTGTTTATGAATGAGGAGTTTCACTGTGAATTTTGCTTGTTTAAGATGTGGTTTCCATAAGCTTGTGTTGCTGCCAAAGGGGATAGTCTCCCTGTCATTTCTGTTTTCCTGCTACCGTCTTGTTTATCCGACTGGCACGTTATCCAGAGCAAGCAGCTCATCTGGCTCTAAATTATCCTAAAAATTATATATTTTTTTCCACCTCGATTACCAGCAGCACAGTTCTTGTTCAGCTTATGCCACATGTGGAACGTGTATCTGTGGAGTGTGTGTGTGGAAAAAAAAAAAAGGTTAAAGCCAATTGTCATTACTTTATTTGGGTCCTCTGCTTTGGTTGCTGCAGATGTAATGATGTCATTATGTATGCTAGTCATTAGAATGACATGAAAGAAAATTTGAGATTATTAGGATTGCATGGAAGAAAACTTGAGATAGCATGGAACTCATTAACAGTGGGAGGATTATAATTATAATGTTGATTGAAGTTTGATGACTTGAACTGCTGCAAAAAAGAGAATCCCATAATCTGTCGTCCAGTGATAAATCAAGAACCTAGTCAAGGAAACTCTCTGGTCAGTTGGTAACTACTTGAAGAATGGTCCTTCTGATTAACAGTTTCCATGTTTGCTCTGATAAATACATGTCGCTCATTGGCAAGTGTGTCACAGACCAGGTTTCCTTTAAGTCAGGAGTCACAGCTTACTCCCAGTTGGCTGTAATGTGCTGTAATACTAAGTTAGTATGCAGCTTTAAAATTAGAAGGTCGCCTTTTTGAATGGTAGATGGCTTTTACTTACTGAGAATCACTGTTTAATCAGCTACCAGGCCAAGGATGATGGAAAAGTTTGTCTAGTTAATAAATTAATATTGTTATTTAATTTCAGTACTTTCCTACACAGTCAAGCATAGCCTCCTACCTTTTTTCCTGATCAAGGTGTGCAGTTGCTTTTGTCTTTGGAGCTCCTAAGTGGGTACTGTCTATTTATACGTTTTTATGTGGGTAACTGACTGCCATGATGTGAGTGATGGCAGTACGAGCTTGCAAACTGTGTTGCTTGCCATGTCCTGTCAGACCTCAGTTGAAGTGGTCATAAATGTGTATAAAGTTGAAAACGATAAAGATGTTAAATGTCGTGTGGAACAGAATCAAGCTTTTTCCTAGATAAGCCATGGCAGTATGGCTCCAAATACATGTCAGTTCTGATGCCTTGGTAGCTTCCATGTGTACCATGTAGTTCTTAGAGTACAGCTTATAGATGAAAATGTCTTCTCTGAGAAGACAAAGATTTCCCAATTCTGTTAAATTTTTTTTTTCATGAGTCAATTGCATGCTCTTTGATGATACATGAAGGAAAAAGTTTTAAGTTAATTACAAAATCACCTAAATATAATTTATTCTGAACTTTAAGCCAAAGTAAAATAATTAATTATATTCTTGTTTTAACTTGTCAACAGTAATTAAAAGAAATGAAAAGAATTAAAAGAAATACAAGTTGTAGTCTTATGCCATTTTTTATTTAAACATAGAAATAAGAAATAATAGATGGGAATATGCTACTTTTAAATCGAGACTAAAAATAAATGCATAACTCCCACCTGCAAATCAGGGGGACAGGGGAAAGTGTTCCTGTCTGGCATTTGTACTAAGATTGTTGTTGGACAATTTATTTTAAGGTTGGGAAGGTCCTCCACCACCTCGTGGATGTGAAGTTTTTGTGGGTAAGATTCCTCGTGATATGTATGAAGATGAATTAGTTCCTGTTTTCGAGAGAGCTGGGAAGATCTACGAGTTCAGGCTGATGATGGAATTCAGTGGTGAGAATCGAGGCTATGCTTTTGTGATGTACACTACTAAAGAGGAAGCCCAGCTAGCCATCAAGATTCTAAATAATTACGAAATTCGTCCAGGGAAATTTATTGGTGTCTGTGTAAGCTTGGACAACTGCAGACTATTTATTGGAGCAATTCCAAAAGAAAAGAAGAAAGAAGAAATACTGAATGAAATGAAAAAAGTTACAGAAGGAGTGGTGGATGTCATTGTTTATCCAAATGCCACTGACAAAACTAAAAATCGTGGCTTTGCTTTTGTAGAATATGAATCTCACAGAGCAGCTGCGATGGCTAGAAGGCGGCTAATCCCAGGTAAACCTGTTTGTAATTAAATTGAGGTTTTTGGGGAGTATCTGTCTTCATTTTTCAGGAGGTGGGGTGATGGATCATCCCTGTTTTCCTTTAAGGTATTTTGAGAGTTACAAAACTGCAGTAGTGCCTTTCAGCTCAAGAGGATTTTTTTTCCTTTGGTTCATGAATCAGGGTTTTTTTCTTTAGGTTGTTTTTTTGTTGTTTTGTTTTGTTTTTAAAGAAGCTGAAATTTAAGCAGTTCTGAGAATGAAAGAACAGACATCTGTTTCATAAACACAAGTTGCTGTAATTTACACCAAGATACGTATTTGCTTGGGCACACATCCAGTTTTCATTTGCATGCACTAGTCCCTGCACATGAGTTCTCATAAAGCTGAGCTTAAAAAATATAATGCTTGGAATGTGTCCCTTATTTTCTTTGAGTGTCATAACATTATTGATGTTTCATATTTTAAAAATGTTCGAAAGTAGGTCTTTGATTTTCTACTAGAAAATATTTTTAAGAGTTTAACAAGTAGAAGACGTTTTTTTTCTTTGCACCTTTTTATACCTTTTGAGGGAGGGAAAGTTGAAGGGATTACGTATATTGAAAGAGGTAAAGTAAAGGTACAGTTAAAAAAGAAAATTCTGAAAGAGAAAGGAAGAGAGATTAATTAGGGAGAAAATGAAACAATACAGTCGGAGAAGCAAGTAATTAAAACAGATAATACAGCATTGGCCTTGCTGAAATGAATGACAAAACTCCCTGTATTTATTAAGGCTAAGATTTAGGCAAGTCTTGTGTTAGTCACTGACCGTGTTAAGGAAGAGTGTTACCTAAAACTTATATAGGCCTTGCAAAGTAATGGGAGAAGTACAGCTGGATCACTGAATGCAGAATAAACTGGTTATGTGATACTCAGAATGGTGGCTTGAAATGAGTAACAAAGTGGGGTGTGTTTGTTTGTTTGTTTGCTTTTAGTTTAAGGTTTTGGTGTCTGCTGCAACGGGCTTGTGCTTTTTCCAGGTGTTAACCTTACTTTTTAAGGTGGTAATGTTATTGAAGAGGCTGTGTTTACTAGCAAGTAAAATAATATGTTGCTTATGGTGTATATGCATGTCACAAAATCAAAAAGTCTGTGTTTTGACAGCTTGTGGTGCTTAATTAACCCAAAGGGTACAGATAGAACATTTTGAATTTTTGCAGTCTTTCTTTAATAATTTCAAGTAGTAATATTGTACGTATTTTGCTTAAGTGGATGCAGGCAACGAAAAACACTGTTTGATGTGGCATACCTCATGTTTTCTTTTTTCTGGAGGTAGTTGATAAGAATGATTTTGTTTTCATTTGCATATTGCTTATTTATGTAGTGCTTCTTTTGCTGTAGGAACGTTCCAACTCTGGGGTCATACTATTCAAGTAGACTGGGCAGACCCAGAGAAAGAAGTTGATGAAGAAACAATGCAGAGAGTGAAAGTATTATATGTAAGAAATTTAATGATATCTACTACAGAGGACACAATTAAAGCTGAATTCAACAAGTTCAAGCCAGGTGTAGTTGAACGCGTAAAGAAGCTGAGAGACTATGCATTTGTTCATTTTTTCCACCGAGACGATGCAATTGCTGCTATGTCTGTAATGAATGGAAAGTGCATTGATGGAGCTAGTATTGAGGTAACACTGGCAAAGCCAGTTAACAAAGAAGGTACTTGGAAGCAACATTTCAATGGTCAGATAAGTCCCAGTTCTGAAAATCTTTTAGGGTTTCCTAACAAAGAAGATGGTCATCAAAAATCCTTAGGGAGGACAGCAAGTCTTTCAGTTCGTCTTAATGGTCAGCAGAGCCCAGGCCCTCCTGAAGTTGAAAGATGTACATATCCTTTTTTTCCAGGAATAAAGCTTACTCCAATTAGCATGTATTCTTTAAAATCCAGTCACTTCAGTTCTGCAGCAATGCATCTGGATTATTTTTGCAATAAAAATAACTGGGCACCACCAGAATACTACTTGTATTCGACCACAAGTCAGGATGGGAAAATACTGTTGGTGTACAAGGTGCTTATTCCTAGCATTGCGGATGGCTCCCAGAGTTATTTCATGCCAGACAAACTCTGTACAACAGTAGAAGGTGCAAAGGAGTTGGCAGCACAGTTCACACTTCTACATCTAGGTAAGCATAAACGCTTTCAATTAGTTCTTCAGAACTGAAGCTAGAAAAGTTACTTTAAAATTGTACTTTGTGTGCATATCTTTGCTTGAGTATGTATCTTTATTTAAAGTAAAAGTTAGTCTACAGAAGAATTCTTTGTTGTATAGTCAGCTGAATCTGGACCATCAGGTGAGAGCACTGAAGAAACACTGTGTAAACATCTATACAGTGCAGTGCTAGGGTCATTCTTGCTTAAGTTTGTCTACTGTAATGATTTATAAGGAAGAACTAGATGACATGTTAAGTGACTTGGGTATAAGGTCATCTATGTGATGATGATTGTGGTGCCGAAAATTTATTTGAAAGGCTGTCTGTGTTCTCAATTTATTATGAATAAGGAAAACAGAAGTCGTAAATCAATATTCAGGTAAACAAGTAGTTTTGGGAAGCTTTTTTGATTCCTCTTTATGGACATTCTTAAGGCTATAGCAGAATATCATTACATGGCTTTACATGTATTACCTTTGGGTAAAGAGTGTTGTCATTTAGTGGTGTGTTTTGTTTTTTTTTTTTAACCAGAAAATGGGAGAAAATAAGGATACGGTTATTCTTAATTACTTTCTAAGTCTAGCATCTTCATTTATATATATTCCATTTCTTAAAGTCAGAATGCAACTACTAGAAAAGGAAAGTTTTTATATTACAAAAAGCTATCATAAAATCTGTTCTTTTCATAACTGAGAAGACAGATCACTGCAGTTCTGACAGTGTTATCCCTGTTGCTCTGTAAAGTGAAATACATAAATAATATAAAACGTAACACTTTTGCTATTGAGTTCCTGCCCTGCATTTTTCAGAACATTCAGCAGACAGCATTCAGAACACAGAACTGCTTTCTAGTGCCAGGTTGTTTCATTAGTAATTGTAGTCGTCATCTGATCAAACTTCATCCTCAAAGAAATGAGAATTATGGCTCTTCGGTACTCAGATTTGAAGGCTATTACAGAGCCATACGGCAATGGTTTGAAAACTCCTCATAATTCCAGGCAAAGCTTTGTTTAATTTATTCCACTTGATTTTTTGTACAGTTTCTCTTCTGCTTAGTCAGCTCTTTTTCTCTTTCTGGCCTTTACCTCCTGGTATATTTGAAGATGAGATAGGACTGATCTTTATAATTTTGCAATTATTATGAACCATCATGTAATTTTTCTGATCTGCAGAGTAGCGTTCTTGTGTATTTGTTGCCTTATTTCTTTCAGCATGACTAGATCAGTAGGTTCTGTATCATGAAATGAACTCTTGCTAGTCTTTTTGTAGAACATAAATATTTTTATGTCATTACAAAAAAACTGTTTCTAATGAATCCTAGAGCCAGAGGTTTGGGGGCTTTTTTTTTTTTTTTTTTTTTTTTCTCCTGTGTAGACTTATTTCTGTGAAGAATTACGTTGGAGATAATAGGCTTGTTCAAATAATACAAACTAGTTTCTTGTCTAATTGTGTGTAGAAAGTTGAGGGTGTTTTGAGTTGTGGGTTTTTTTTTTGTTGGTTGTTTTGTTTAGTTTTGGTTTTTATTCAGAATTGGAGCAATGCTAGAGGAGTTTGGGAGGCAGTGTTTTGGTTTTTGGAGTAGTAGGCGAGTTCTTTCCAAGCTTCTTATAATATTTAGGAAGTTTGAAGAGGAGGTGCTTCAATTACTATTGTTTCAGTTTATTAATAAACGGCTGTGGTTTTTTACATTCTAGTTTAGAATATCGGCCTTCTTAAGCCATGGACTTCCAGGCTTGAAATCAGGAGTGGCACCCTCTGTGGATAGTGCCTACTGTAAGTGGGCCAGGCAGTTGTCTGAGGCATCAGACATGGTGATCCTGTATAGCGCAGCTCTGAATAGAAACACATTGAGATTGTAGAATACAGTAAATAATCCTTTTCTGATTAGTTGTGCATGCATACAGGGCCCAGGACTGCATTTAAAACAGATTTAAAACTTGATTTTGCTTTAGGAATGGAAGGAGGAGAAAAGAGAATAGATAAAGAAGTATTTATTAAAATGTTTTTATTTAATAATTTTGGCCCAGTGAGACTAAATTTTCAGGGAAATGGAAACAAATAGTAACTTAAAGGGTAAGTGGACTTCTGTGTTAGTCATGACTGCTTCTGTTCCTGAGGAATGCTTTAAGAAAGACTCTTCTGTTCTCCTCTATTCCCCTCTTCTTTATTTCCCCCCCTTCCCCCCCCCTTTTGAAAGATACACCTCTTTCGTGTTGATAAAAACCCTCTTTTTGATGTTGGCATTGTTGTGATACTGAAACATAGCCTTAAGGACTCTAGGAATAGAATTTATTTTGCCTATCTAATCTACAGAAGTTGTTTTTCTTCCAACTTACTACATATGCTATGTTGAAAGAAACATCTGAAGCTAAAAGAGAGTTGCTAGATGCAACAAAGAATCCCTCCTTCTCACTGAAGTGTCGTATGGTTTGGTATGTTGAATGATGCTGCATGGATGTATGTGTTGTGGGTTTATTGGGGGGGGATTTTTTTTTTTTTTTACAAGTTGCAGTGATTTTGAGAAAAGTCTTGAGTGAGTTTCTTCCTGGAAGCAACATACTATAAGCAGGAGTGTACAAAGATGGCACAGGGAATAATTCCTGCTTGTAAGTAACTTCTCTTACAGGAACCTCAGTTTTTTGCCCACTTAACTTTTGATGATGTGTATAGTTTTTTTTTCTTTTTAAAGCATGCAAGCAGACTAAGAAGTAGGTGAATGAGAAACAGCTGCTTTGATAGAATTTTAAAATTGGACTGTTATGATTAATAATCTTAAAGCACTCTTGGCTTTTTTTGATGATACATATTTATATATTTACTTTCATATAACAGAGTACTTGGTTGTTACTGGATACAGTAGTCCTGAACAGACAGCAGTACAACAATTTACCACTTGGTGTCACTTGAATATTTTGAAAACAATGCTTGGAGAAAATATAGAAAGCTATGATTTCACTGAAAGATGAATAAGCTATATTTTAATGTTACTAGATAAATCATTAACAGATCAAGGAAGTAAAAAAACCTCAGGCTTCTTTAAATATATGGAAATATATTTATATGGATGTCCATTTGTGAGAAGGAGAGCAGAGCTACACGTTAAAGTTCTAGAAGAAGGTGAATGTTTGGGCGGGGGGGCAAACAAAATATGAAAAAACCTGAATGCCCCATAGAAGCAATTATTAAATTTTCCATTAATTTGAATAGAATTTCAGCACAAATAAGTCTGTATCTTTAGGAGTTACGCAACACCTAAGTGTTTGTAAAATGGTACTTGGTTGTTAAATGTGCTATCCAGTTAGAAAGCCATGTAAGACTTCCTACTCTTGTTCTGGAGGCTGACTAGATAGAGGCAGCTCCAATTTGGAGACTGTATAGTTGTGCTAAGTAACACAGACTCCGTATTCCACCTGTGGTCCAGAAGCAGTGTTAGTGCAGAGTCAGTCCCAAAGTAGAAAGCCTATCGTGAGGTGTTATTTATCGTTCAGGCACTTTGCATCAGTAATGTAGCTTCGTAGCTTCTTGAATCAAGCTGGCTCATCCAGGTGATTTCGAGGTGTAGGCAGAAGAGGACCTGAAGTTGCATAGATGTGCTGTGAATTGTAGGGTATTTTCCACTTCCCTTTCTTTAGTGAAAGTAAATGTCTGAAGCCTGGAAAAGCAAAACATTCTTCTGAGAACAATTGTTTTGTTTGGGTTTTTTTGTGTTTGTTTGTTTGTTTCATTTTGTTGGGTTTTTTTTTATTTTGTTTTCTGTGTGGTTTTTGGGGGGGTTGGGTTTTTTTGTTTTCACTTACTGCTGGTGAAATTCCACTGGTTTAAGGAAATAGCAGAAGATGTCAGAACATCTTTCTAGTCCGTGAGATAACACCCTCTGTAGCAAAGGATGAGTTCTAGGGAGTTCTCTCCCTACTGAGTCTGGCTTGAGGGTGGTGGAGAAGACAGGAAGAAGTATCGGCAAAGTTTCCTCTGTTTCAGGGAACTGCCAGGCTTGAGGCTTGTGTTCCGCAACAGGGTGTACTTTGTTCACTCACACATGCCTATTCCATGTGCTATCTCACTGAGACACAATTTAAGAAATTAATTTTTAGGTAGAAGAGAGTATTTAAAAGTATTTAACAAAAAGTATTTAAAATAAAAATATACTGATAAATTTCTGAATCAAGGAAAAGCATTTAGTAACTAACTGTAGCACATAAATAACAGTTCAATTTCAGTTCGCCACATAGAATGTATGTAGGAAACTACTGAAACAGGTGGAACAAGCATTATAACTTACTACTCTGAATTCACTTGTTTAAGCTTCTTAAATACTGCATGCAGTAGCAATTTACAAGTCAAGGATAACAGTTGTATAAACTAGTTGAAGAGTCTGTACTCAGCATCTGGGTCTCAGAACAAATGTAGCAGTAGACTGCTGTCCTAGATTTTGGACATTAAACTTAAAGGTATCACAGTTCAAGTGAAATGTTTTTATTTTACTGTTTAGTTGTAGGGATTTTCTTTACTTCAACATTGCCTTGGTTTGCTTTATCTAAATTAACTGTATTGCTGTTGGAACAAGCAGCAGCCTGGTACAAAATGTGAGGTTTTTAAAAAACTACAGAAATTGCTGGCTTGCTTTAGCAAATACAGATGAGAAGTGGTGGTGGTTGGTTGGTGGGGTTTTTTTCAGTGATTTTTAGCAAAGCTCAGAATATAGTATAAGATATTCCTTAACAGTATGAATTTAAAAGTCTTAAATATTTATCAGATGACTTATACATAATGGTTTTTGTCACAGCCCCTGAGCAAGCATATATAACTTTGCTGTCCCTGAATGCAGCCTAGTGCGATAGTAGAGGTGAGTGAAGCTCCCAGGATTGTGTTTGGTGCAGGTTTTTTCCCCCCTAAAAGACATTGTCTTAGTTGCACTGGTTGGACTGTTCGCTAGAGAAGTTGGTCTCAAGGTTATTTGTCCACATACACACCTCTGAGAAGGCTTGTAGAAATGCTCTGTCCATTTTTTCTTCAAATGAGACTATAGCTCTACTGCTGTAGACCTGCTGATGGATCACCCAGTCTGATGTTTGCATGGATTGTGCAGCCCAAAGGAAGGTTATGATTTTTACTCCTAGAATGACTCTGAGTCATTTTTCAGTCACTTCTGAATTATTTGCATTTCCAGCTTAGGTTTAAATTTTTTTTCAGGAGCAGAGTTGTTACTACACTGGTGACTTGGACTATTTCTTTGGGTAGTCAGTTTCACGTAAAAGAGGAACACTAATGTCTCCTCCTCTTAATTACAAAAAATGTAATTTTTAACTTTCTGCATTTTATCCCACAAGGGTAAATGTTCTCTTTTTTTTCAAATATGCTGTTGAAGATGAATTTAGGCGTGGATGTCTGTCACTTCTGAGGCCTCTTTCATTTTTTTAAAATGAGGATTACCATCTCAGAATGTAGTGAGATTGGTTTTTAAAAGCTTATAAGGCAGTTTGAAAATAGCATTAAATCCATGCTTGGTGTTAACTTTACTGCTCAAAGCTTCTAATCTGAGTCACCCAGGATTTGTCCTGAAGATTCAGTTATTTTTCTGTTGCTGCTGCTTACGGACAGGGAACATAATTTTTTAAATCTGGGCTTGTGTAGGAGAACTTGGCAAAAAAAAAATTAGTAAGAAAGCTGTTACAATGGTGGAGTGTGTTTATCCATGAAATAACTTGACTGACTTCAGTAGAGTCAGTCACTTCAAAACAAGACTGAATTTAGTGCCCTTTCCTAGTCTATTGATGATCCCAATGAAGTTGGGTTTTTTTTATGCAGTATGTATCTGGCAGACCTTGGTACTTAGTTAATAATACACCCCAATCTAAAGTGTTAAATATGCAAAAGGAAAGACTGCTGCTATGATACATATGATATATGTGACAAATTAATACAACTCAGAACAGTGATCTAATATGTACATTGAAGTTGTCTTCATTAATACTTTTGTTCAGTGGAGGTGAAACAAAGGGTTGTTATTGTAAAATTTGGTTAAAAATACATATATAGGCTGAGAAAATTCTTACGTTCAGTACTGAAGAATGTTTTTTTTAAAAGTATAAGTTAGGAAAAAACCTAGATTAGTAAGTTCTCATTTTTTATTTCTCTTTTTTACTTGGTCCTTTCTGATCTTGCTTGAACTGTTGACTAAATAATTTCTTAATGATTTGAGTTAGTATTAGGGGTGCAGAAGAAAGGGGAGAATGCAGCATCGGCATAACACTGTGACTGCTTTCATTACACCATTATCTTAAGTTCCTTAGTCGTTAAGTCCATCTTGGAATAGGTAATGCAGTATGCTTGCTGAAATCAAAAGTAATTTTCTTTCCCCCTTCCCCCTCTTTTTCTGCAGCCCACTGTACACCCTACTTGGCTTGAATTGCTGTGAAGAAGAAAAGTTTGGGATTTGTTGCTTTGGATTTTGCCATGAAAGAAAAAAGAACACCACACTGATAGATAATTACCGGAAATTCACATTGCATGTTTATTGATGAATAATTCTTCAAAGCGTATGCATGTATTAAGCATTTAATGTTAAAGATTAGTGAAATTGAATGTTAAATGTTTTGGTTAGCTTGATTAAACTTGTTTTGAAAAGATAATTTTGTTAAAAGACTTTTAGTACCTGTAATAGTTTATACAACAATAGCTTATTTTTAGTGTTGAAATGATTTGCTACAATTCCTACTCCTGTATTTTGAGTTTCATGCAGAATTTTTACAGCTTCTGTTGTAAGTAATAAATCTTAAGCAAACATTTAAAAAAACCCAAGAAACAACACAAACCCAAACCAAAACTACACCACCTTGGCAACCCTGCCTTTTCATATATAAACATACATAATACGAAACTTAAATCCCAGACTCAGATTTGTTTCTGTAACTTGATGCAAATTTTTATAGGAAGAACACGTCCAATAAAATCTTTGCTTCTCGTATAGCATTACATCAATGAAGGAGTGGTATCTTGAAGGGCTTTATGTCTATCTACCATCAGGCTACATGAGATATATTGCTGTAGTCATAACGTTGGGGTTCAATACCTTAGATAATTCTTTGAGACAAAAATGGGCAAAAAAAAGAATCTTGACACATACAAATTACATGTACTTTTATGTACAGGTCGCTAAGTTGCATTTCCTGTTGTTAGCACCTCTTTGCTGGAACACGTGTGTGCTTCCATGTTCACAGAAGCCTTACTCTTACCCAGGCTATCCCTCGTAACCAGCACTTCTACTTGCTCGTGGTATCTATGTTGAACAGCAGCTTACTTTCTAATCAGGCCATGTTCTTCTTAAAAAAACATAGTAGCATTGAATTGAAAATAGTTTTCAAGTTTTACAATCGGGTATATGTAATTAATTTTGAGTGAGCCATCTTTATTTTTATTGTGACTATTCAGCATTTCTCAGTAAAGTGCTTTATTTATTGAATGACAAAAAATAAAGGCCTTTTTTTCTTTTTTTTTAAAATCTGAAACTAATACAGTAGATCATCCAGCTTTTTGAATTTGGTATATAGTTCCAGTTCCTGGTTAAGGAATGGGCCAAGTGGCACGTATTACGAGTCTAAGGGCCTGACCTATACAAGTATTGGTTGTAAGGTGTTTTATCTGAAAAGTGTTTGTCAAAGAAGGAATATTATGTAGACAGAAAACGATGCAGTGGAAAGATTTAAAGTTGAATAATTTTTCTTAAAGCAGTCAACTATTGTGGTCCATAACATACTTTAGTTAAATGTGTTTCATAAGCATATTAAATTAATTTAGGTGCAGTTATAGCAGTTTAATTTTATTTGCATTTGCTATTAGCTACATAGCCGTTGTTTTAAAGTGTTGTAATTTTTAATGTTGAAATCATGTGTTTGACTTCTGTACTTGAATTAACATTTATATTAAATTTATGCTGTTAGTATTTGCGGTGTGTGAAAAATACTTATTGTACACATGGTACCTTCACAAACTTACTTTGCAGGATTCTCTTTGCTTTCTCTAGTAGCAAGCTTTGGCCAGAGGCTCCAGTGCAGGTGCTTTGCTGAACAAGAGGAAGGGTAATTAAGTGGCTTAGTGAAACCTTGAAAAAAGAAATGTCATTTTTAAAAAGCAAGTTTGCTTAGTAGTGTCAATCACAGTTGAAAGTTGTTAAACTGTTATGATTTCCTAAGAAACTCTGTTGGGAGGAAAGGAGAGGGGGCTTACTTTATGTTTAAACTAAGTAGTCCCTGAGGCCAGACCAAAATAAGTTGTTTGAGATAGAACAATACAGTAGAATGCTGATAAGATGTGGGGGAACTAATTTAAAAGTATTTGTGCCTGGCAGCCTGAGAATTCCAGCCTACAGACTGCTGAAATGAGCTTTTTTTTTTTTTTTCAGGTGTCTTGATTAAGACTTAACTTTCTTATTGCAAGTTTTTTGTATAGGCATCTTTAGTGACACCTTGAAAATACAATAGACTTTTGCATGTGAAGAAAGATTTGCTAAAACAATATTCTGTAATACTTTGAATGGAACTACGGGCCAACCCAACCTAGGTAGAATTGGTATTGTTAGCTACTGAGGGGAACTGCGTGAGGAGCTGCACAAAGATTACATTGCATTAAAACGAATACCTGGAGGGGAGCTGACTTACCCAGTGAACAAAAGGAGGTACTGACCAGTACTGTCAAAAGCTGTGGGATTGTGTTTTTTGGGTGCGTGACATCCTTCCTGTTCAGATTTCTAACCATGCTCCCATCTTTGGAGCAGTCTTGTGCAAAAAGCAGTTTTGCTATGAAATAGCAACTCCCACCATTATTAACATGAGCGTGTACCTTGGTAATTATTTTCAATACTCCCAACAAGCGTGACTGTACAAAACCACGATCAAACGTTTGAGTGTAATGAGTACTGGGGGGATGTAAGCCAAGTACGGCCCTCTGACAGAATTTGGTCTTTGTTTTGCAGATAAGAACAAAGGTGTAAGGAATAAGCAGCTGAAGCAGCAGTAGCACTCGGTAGCGGTAATTCAGAGGTTTTGAAGTTTATTTAGAACACATCATTAAAAATCTCTAATCAGTGTGCAAAATTGCAAGCATATTTTTCATATTTATAAAAGTCTCACTGGAGCTTATTAACCTTTGAAAAAAACCCAAACCAAACCATGTATTTCTTCTGAAAATGTTGTGACGAAGGGAAAACATGGTGTTGCAAATTTTTTACAGTACTGTTGTATAACTGATAAAAGTGAATCCGTATACTGTCCTGTTCTATAATTGGTTTAGGAACTGGAAGTCCCTCCAAAAGTAGAGGTCACTGACTTTAGTGAAACAAAGTTTTGTTCCTTTGCGCTAAACCCACTGTGTTAAAAACTTGCCCTAAATAAGAAAAGGCAGTCCTTATTCTTATGATTACCTTTTCCATCAGCTTGCTTGCCTCTTTTTTTTTTTTTTTTTTTTTTTTTTGAAATATTATTACTACCTTTTAGTTGGTGACAGATGCTAAAGCCAATGTTATGGAGCAACCAGCTGTGGGCAGCAGCCTCTATCTTCCAACCCCTGTTAGTAGATGGGGTGGGGGAAACTAAGGCTGTTTGTCCCCAAGAGCTACCCTCCTAATTAATAACATGAACAAGAATTACTAAATTAATGGGGATTTCTTTTAAGTAGGAAACTGTAGTAAAGAGCCCAGTCAGCTGGAAGTTATTAGGTTAACACACTCTTGAGGTAAAAGCAACCCCCTAGAAGTCAGTTGTTACAAGTCTTCTTTCAGTGAATTTCACAGTTGCTGTTAGTAAGGAAGAATGACCAGTTTAGCATCTCTTCAGGCTATTTAGTGTGCAACTCAATGGATGACCAGAGGAAGAAAAACAAGTAATGATCCAGCAATCTTAGAACTTTTCTGCAGTGAGAAAGGGCCCCATTAGGCCCCAAAAGGGGCAGTTTAGAGCAGTCATTTAGAGCTCCTTCTCTACCCCTAATAGTTTTTACCAGGCTACCAAGGCTGTTAGAGCCACCAAGACTTGAAATCATTGTTCCAAGTTGTCTATGGCCAAACTACCACTTGGTGTGTACTTCAGGCCGCCCGATCAAGGGGAGCCCATTGACGAAGCTTTCTTATTCCAGCTACAGGAGGCATTGCACTCGCAGGCTCTCGTCCTGCTGGGGGACTTCAACCAACCCAACATCTGCTGGAAAAGCAGCACGGTGAGCTGTAGGCAATCCAGGACACTACTGGAGTGCATCAAAGACAACTTACTAAGCCAGGTAACAGACAGCCCCACCAGAGGAGAGGCAATACTGGATCACCAATGCAAGTGAGCTAACTGGTGACGTCAAGATCAGAGGCAGCCTGGGCTGCAGTGATCATGCACTGGTGGAGTTTGCAGTCCTGAGGGGTGTGGGTCAGGCAAAGATTAAAGTGAGGGCCCTGAATTTTAGGAAAGCAAAATTCCAGCTCTTCAAGGAGTTAGTCAGTAGGACCCCCTGGGAAACTGCCCTCAGGGACAAGGGAACAGAACAGAGCTGGCAGATCTTTAAGGATGCTTTGTGTAGAGCACAAGAGCTCTCAGTCCCCAGGTGTAAGAAATCAGGAAAGCAAGGCAAGATACTGGCATGGCTGAGTTGAGACCTGCTGGTCAAACTAAAGGGCAAGAAGGAAATGTGCAGGCAGTGGAAGCAGGGATGATACCCCATCCCTGGAAACATTCCAAGTCAGGTTGGACGAGTCTCTGAGCAACCTGATCTAGTTGAAGATGTCCCTGCTCATTGCAGGGGAGTTGGACTAGGTGACCTTTAAAGGTCCCTGCCAACCCAAACTATTCTTTCGTTCTAGAAACTATTCAGCTTAAGAGTCGGAAAGGGTAAAAATGCTCGCCCTCCTCAGTACATGATGGGTGCTGCATCATTAATAAAATAACTAACACCCTGAACCTCCTTAGGAGGCAGAGCCCATGTTGTGTTCCCTCGTGAAAGCAGCGCTCAGGCCACCACGATGGCACTGGCTATAGGGAATGGTGTCAGGCATATGGGACTGTGATGAGGGTAGGCCCTTTCCAATGGTACAGGTGCTGCAAAACTACCATGGAGAAGCATTAATTGACAAGAATTATCTAAGTATACCTCAATAATAGCTTAAATTTTATTTTAAAAATCCTCTTCCATCCAACTGATATGCTTTGGCCTTACTGCAGAAGGGCTTAATTTTTGTGAGGCCGGTCCTTTCTGTGGAAAGAGGCTTTTCTTTCACCAAAAAGGTAAACAACAGCCATAGAACAATTAAATGACGCAACCACTGTCAAACCAGGTGGGATTTTTAGGACGCTAGAATGCAAGTACCTGCTCATGGGAATTGAAAGAAAATCTTACGTACTGCTTGAAGGTGGGTACACTTCCATGAAGTATAAGGACACTTAAATATTTTCAAAAAGAAGCCTGCAAAACCAAGATTGTTCCAGCCTTATGTTTTTAGAATGCAGTGATGCTTTTAACTAAGCCAGCAGATAAAGTTTTAGACTTGAAAGAGGTAAAGAATCCAGAGTAGTAACCACTGAGTGCACTACTGGCTTGTAGATTAAACAGTAGTGATCATACTATGCATTTTAAAACATCTGGTGCTTCAGAAAGAAGGCACAATGCTGTGATTTTTAGATGGGGAGGGGAGAGCATTGGGGAACAGGAGTTTATGGCTGTCAGAAAGTAATGGGCACAATCAGAAATTGAAATTAAGCAGTGCAGGAACAAGAAGCATCCGCAAAGGCAGACTGTAGCTCACGGAGGCTGGTCTGTTCGTTGCAGTTCAGTTCAGGTAGGAAGTCAAGTTCCTTTAGAAAGCCATGGCAGAGTATGACTGACATCAAAGATGGCCTTCCCTCCTCTGACAGTCCAAGGGGGGTAATATTTGCAAGCACCAGTGTTAGAATATTCTGCATGGATAATGGCATCGGCCATTATGTGCTATCAAAATGCACTAGGAAAAAAGTAATTAAAAAAAAAATAAATGTATGTGAAAGTCAATGGAAATACCTTGATGCAAAACTTAATGTGAAACGTGACTGTATCACTAGGGCAGCTTGCCAAGAAACAAGTACCCATTTCAGTAAATTTAGCTATATGAGTTACCACTTCAGGCCTGGAACTTTTTTTCTACGTTGCCAGAGGTGATGGCTGATATTGACTTATGGTTTCCTGCAGAGGGAAGTATTCACTAGTGTATGAAAACCAAATATTGACAAAGATCATTTGACTCAAAGCTGGAAACGTGTATTATGTGTAAGCAAAGAGCAAAAGACTAGAATGTCAGGAATGTTATTCACTGAGTTACACAGTTTTTTTGGGAGAAGTCAAAACATTTCGAGTGATAAAATAGCTCTCCG